ACACACACACACACACACACACACACACACACACACACACACACACACACACACACACACACACACAGAGCAAGGGGAGGGGGCAGGACTTCTTCTGCTTCACCTGCAACATTCAACAGGTGACAGATCTGCTGTGACAAACATTATTGTGTGTAATCTTCACTGGGTCTCATCCTGAGCAGCATAGAGGCAACAGTGGAACGACTCAGTGTGAACAGGAAGAGACCTCCAACAGAACCAGAACCAGAACCAGAACCAGGGTGGGCAGCCTGTTGTCTCGACTGGCTGGAGTCAGTGAGGACAGGAAAGAGACACAAACAAACAATCTTTGGTAAGATAAATAAAAATTCAATTTTGTGAAAACAGGAATCCACTTTCTTTTTGGCTCAGCCCAGACTAGTCATTAGCTCATCAGTCTGAAGTAAACTGTTTTCTTTTGTATTTTACAAACTGGAGTTGTTGAAATCTCTACAGTGAGTAAAGTTTTAGCTGTTTTGTCTTTTATTCACTTATTTCTCTGATTTAAAATCCTCTTGTTTTATTAAACACGTTGGTGGTCTGAACTGAGCTCACATGTGGGCCAGAAGTGGTCTGTGGACCTGTGGCTAGATTGTGCAAGAACCCCCTAAATATGAATATACATAGTGTATTATACTGTGTTGTACAATAAACTATGGTTTGTACTACATAAAACATACCTTGTTTCTGTGCATTTGAGCCAAAGACAACTTTGAAATTAAGCAATGTATTTAAAAATGTTTAATTAATCAAAGCTTTCACAACCCCCCCTGCTGTACCACCATGGACCAACTATGAGGTCATCATGTCCTCATACCTGCTTCTTCCTTTCAGGGTCACGAGGGTCTCTGGTGCCCATATCCAACAGTCACTGTGTGAGTGGTGGGGGACACCCTGGACAGGTTGAAAGTCCATCACAGGGACACAGAGACAAATGAGACTGACAACCATTCACTGTCTCACTCACACTTAAGGACAAGTTAGACAATTAGTCTACGGTCATGTTTTTGGTCTATGGGAGGAAACAGGAGTGCCCGGAGAAAACCCACACATGCACAGAGAGAACATGCAAACTCTACCCAGAAAGCTCCCCGGATCGGGATTTGATCCGGCAACCTTCTTGCTGAGAGTCATCAGCTCTACCAACTGAGCCATCGTACGGCAATATCATCTATATATTTCATCTGTTAACACTATTATGCATAGG